TCACTTGACCTTCTCCAATGTCTAGCTTGCCTTGAATGTGCTTGAACAAGCCTACAGAACTCAACCTGCACAAGCTGAAATTAAAAATGGCAAACCCTGTAAATGGAGTTACAGTCAGTGTTTAAGGGTTGGGATAGCTTGGATAGGTTGTATGGAAGGTGTTTGAACATGTTTGGGGCAAAACACACGAGCAAATTGTGTTATGGAAATCAAACTGCAGATGTTGCCCTGTTTTGCCAATGAGATGTGATTTTGTGCTATGGGAAGTTTAAGGACTCAAAGGGTCGTGTTTCTGGTTCAAGGGGATGTGAGAAAGATGTTTCAAAAGCTTGCACAAGTTAGTTTTAGCTGATGTTCCAGTTCTAGTGTTTTGGACATATTTCTTGTATATGAAGCAAAAATGAGCCATGATGTAATACAAGCCTGTACAGACTATCTATCAGCCTGCTTCTTCTGATCTTGGCCCCTCAAGTTGGTGGATATGCTTTGCTGCACAAGATTTGGCTCTATGCTCAAGGATTATGGTTTTGACATAAAACAAACTTTGGCAAAAATGGTAATGTACCTTTTACCATTTAGGGATTAATCTTGTATGCAATGCCCTAATGACCAAAACAATGCCTTAGACCAATGGATTTGCATTTAATTATTGAGTGTGGAATGGTTTTGAGGCATGTAATCTAGTGCAAAGCAAGCTGATTTGAATTTGCAACTTGTATCAATATGAACATGTCATGGATGAAAAGTGAGTTTTTGCCAACTTCAAGCCTTCGATTCTCCCTAACCACAAATGTGTTTGAAGAGTTCTTGGACATTTTGGAAAGATTTCAACATGCTATACAATCCATCTTTGAAATTAAATTTGAGATTCCAAGTGGAACTATGTGAAAAATGTCCATGAAGATAAGTCAAAATCCTGCCTAAACTAGGACAAAATTTCACTAAGTTAAAGGTTTTAGGGACCCTTGTTCCATAAATCATAACTTGAGATCCAAACTTCTTTTGGAAAAACTTTGTGAATCAAAGTTGTAGATTTTGTGGAGAAATACAACTTTCATGTTGGAAGTTTTATTTGAATCCAATTTCATCATGGTGAAAATGTTGGGCAAAGTTAGGAAAAATTAAGAAAATTTCATAACTTAAAAAAAATTCTAAGTTATGAAAATTTTCAACTTTAAACCCTAATTTGCAAAAATGGGTTTCTTTATGAGAAAGTTTCATGTTTTGACATATCTTGATAAAAAATGACCTTTGGCACTTGATTTTGACCAAAAAGTCAAAGTTTGATTTTTCAGTGTACAGTCAAATTTGATCAGTTGACTGAAAAATTCATTTGTCAATCCAATGCATTTGAGATCTTTTGAACCTTGTGAATATGTCAAGATGATGCCATTGAGTCCTTGAATCCATGCTTGAGCCCAAATTGCCATTGGCTAGGTCAAAAGTCAGAAATTGCCCTTGTGCAGTCAAAACCCTAAAAATGACCATTTTGCCCTTTTGGTGATCTGATCAAATTTCTTGTGGAGTTGTGGTCCAAACTTGATCAAATGGTTCATATGAGTTTATAATGTTGATGTGGGTCAAAGTTTATGAGGTTTGACTGTAAATTGGCCACAGTTGACTTTTTCCCCAATACAGCTGATTTCTAGGTCAATTGTCCAATTGACTGGGTAAAAATTTGATTCAAGGCTTGAAACTTGGTATGGAAAAACTTATGAGTCCAAAATGAAGTATGAAAGTCAATTTGAGTATTGAAAGTCCAGAAATATCTATGCAAACTCAAACCCTAATTTAGGTCATCAGTGCAAGGAGATGTCTTGAGCAGTGCAAAACCCTGATCCTGTCTGGAGTTCAAGGAGCCTTGTGAGGGGAAATCTTGATAAAATAAGAGGGAAAATTTTGGGGTACAACAGTGGACAACAATTAAGAACGTGATATCCAAAAATACCATCTGATATTTCTTGCCTCAGTCTATATATTATGAATAATACGATTGCCTTGGTGCTCTATAGACAATACACAGTCTATATATTCAACATTATTATGTTCAAATTATTGTGAAGTTATCAAAGGTTGATCAGAGACAACTAGATCCCTTGAAATAGTTTGCATGTACAATAACTGTCAAAAGAATCTCTCAAATAGGTATCAAACCATATCTGATCCACATATGAAGCATTGGGAGTATAAGCGTATCTCATCAAGCAGGTGACACAATGATTGATGATCAATTTATGTGTAAAAGAATACCTCGAGTTGTAGTAGTTGATTTAGGCACTCTTGATGCATATCTAGAACATAATGACCTTTAGTTAGAGATAAAAAAAATTAGCATATGACTCATTATCCATGTATGCAATATCATAATCTTAACCACCAATATAGAGAAATTATTGTAAGATACATGCATGCATCAACATATACTAATCAGTAAACAACATTGAATATGATATTATGAACAATTAAATAAATAATCACCTGAATATGTTACTCAAAGTGGTGTTATATAACTTGTCAGGTGCTTTGTATTAAACTTATTGGTAGGATTGAACTCCTTATGCAAGTAAGTCATAGTAACAATGCCATAAATAAAGTCGGTAATCATGTCAATGAAAACTAAATGTACACCTTATTCGTATATTCAACATTATTATATGAGAATGCAATGGAGTCCACCAAGAAAAATAAATACAACTCGATGGCATATTATTTATTCAAGTGTCATCCCACATTGTCATCATCCACATAACGAGTTATTTATGCATCCTAGTATCTTTCTAGCTCATGTTTTAGGATGTTAAACCGTGAAAGAGCCCTTATATGTTTTCAACTTCATGATTAACTTCCTCGATATCAAATCCAATTAGATCAACCATCAATTTCATCACTCAAACTTTGTTTAATAAGGCGTGGTCCAATAGACAATCATGAGTAGGTAGATACAACAAACATAACTTCTGATAATGTTGATAACACTTGATCATACTATTATTTGTATCAAGTTTTTAAAATGGTATAATTACTATTTATTTTAAAATTGCATGAATTATAGCAATTTACCGTACAAATCAAGATTATTGTGGGAAATGCCAACTTGCATAAAATCATTTTAACCAAACAACATTACAATATTCACACACGGTGAAGGTTATAGTGGCGAGAAGTGAAGCAGAACCGAACACAATAAATTAAAGTTTAGAAAGATTGTCCCTTCTAAAATCCTACCACAATCAAGGAGAATTGTGGCAAAATACCTATAACAATATAAAGAAAATTGGTCTATTAAAATTGTGCCACGACCATATTGTATTGTATCACAATTTCCTTCGAACCAAGTTACCACATTAGTTTACTAAGAAATCATGGCGTGATAAGATCACATTATGACACAATTTCTACAATAAAAAACTCTCTACATAAGATAAAATCATACCAATTTCAAGGGTACAATAAAGAACTCTCTACATAAGATAAAATCATACCAATTTCAAGGGTTCTTGATTTTGATCATTGAGAGACACCTGTAGAGTTCCAAAGGATGAAAATTGATACTCCATAACCATGTGAGTTTAATTTTTTTATTTATAATACATGTGTTCCTTATCAAATATTTTGGCTATGAAAGTTTATACCACAAGTAACTAAGTTTTCTGATATCATGCATTTGTAGAAGAATTTATCTTGAATTTGATTGCCAATGTGAAAATCTTGGAGATGTTCGAAAATGGTGGAAAACACTTCGAGAGAGACAATGTTTATGAAGGATAATAAAAATGGAGCAAGAAAGTAAAGAATGGAATGAGACAATTCGGTCCTATTTATACTCTTTTGGCAGAGTCCAAAAGACGGAAAGAAAATAGACATGTCAGGATAAACTCAATGGATCATCGAGACCGCACACCTACTAGTAAACTAGTCTCAAGTCATTAAGGAATACTTTATCAAATCTATAACTGCAATTACAATTCCCATAAAGTAATTATTGAATGCCTATAATAAAAATCACCTTATAAATTATAAGCTCCGTATGACAACAAGAGGGAAAGGCGACAAAATCAACCAAATCCAATCACGTTATGATAGTAAGAAAGTCAAGAATACAAGAAGTTAACAAATATTGAAACCAGAGTTGAAAGTTAATTCTCATAGAAAATACTAATATGCATATGGAAAAACAACTTGGACTACAAGTCATACTCCAACTACACCGGACCAGTCTTAAGGGCTACTGGTTTGGTCTAGTTCGATGCCCAATTTACAAAGAGCCATTGAAGAGGGTTATCCAAATAGTAAAAGTCTCAAATGCTCCACGAAGCAAATAAATCATTTAAACTCTAAATATCATATTATAGAGGCTTAGCGAAGATCCTCAATTTGTTGTACACACTATTTTAACTCTAAATATCTCTCATTTTTAACATTTATTAATTTACACATGAGAATATTTATGTATGCCCTTTTCGCCTTCGTCATCAGGATAAAGTCCCAAAACACAAAGAATACACTAAAATTTATCATTGAACTCAAATTCACCACTTCATTTGTGAACCACACAAATATTTTTAAAATCAACTTCAATTTAGTCTCACTTAAGCAAAGTTAAATATTGATTTATAGTTAATACTTATATAATATAAATTAATATGTATTTGAATAAAATATTATTTGTATTAATGTTATTTATATGCTTTAACCAATGATTTGATTTTATAAAATAAAACCTAAATCTAAACATAATATATAAACTTTTCTCAAAAATATTTCAAAACAATTAAAAACAAAAATCAATTAGTAATTAAAATGGTTCCTTAAAAAAAACACTTCTTTAAAAAAATCAATTAAAATGATTAAAAACACTTTTTCTTTATACAAAATGATAAAACAATGTAGGTAAATGGAAAAAGAAGGGACTAGCGAAAACCTGTGTTGTGGCGTGTCAGTTTCACTGAAGCCCTAATCACAAAACGGAACCTAAAACCCAATCTCAGTGACAAAGCACCATGAGAGGCTTATCGAGAATCTCAAAATCACTCGCGACCAGTTTCTTGTTCAACCGAACAAAACCTGAACTCGCACCATGCAGAAATCGAGCATACAGTTTGATCCCAATGGTCATTGAAACCTCTTCCAGAGGTGAAAGAGCCTACGATATCTTCTCTCGTCTTCTCAAGGAACGCATCATTTGCATCAATGGACCCATCTCTGACGACACCTCTCATGTCGTTGTTGCTCAGCTTTTGTTTCTTGAATCTGAAAACCCTTCCAAGCCTATCAACATGTACCTCAATTCCCCTGGTGGTGCCGTTACTGCAGGTACTAATTAATAACACCAATTTCCATTTTATCGCCTTTAATTGCTTACGTCTACTAAAAATCTCTTTTTTTTTACTACCCATTTTGTTGTATCATAATAACCCCCTAATTATCGATGCCTTAATGTGTAAAACTTTTTTTTTTTGTGTTAAATTTTTATGGTTTTCTTGTCCTGAGATTTACTTTGGAGTCTGTTTCGATAAGCAACTTAATTAACAATGGTGAAAGTCACACATTGGATGAGATATAAGCTGAGAATGTGTTTATAAGTGAGAGACTTCTGTCACACTGTAACCCTATAAGTCAGTTTTGTAGGATTGAGTTAGGCTAAACTCAGATTATAAGAAAATGCTTATTATGTAAGTGGTTATGTATTTGTAAAATCGAGACAAGTATAGTCAAATTGTTTTTAGATAAGCTATAAGTTGTTTTCAGAATATTAGGGAGAGCTCATCGAAATTAGCTTAAAACAACTTAATGATATGTTATAAAATGTTTTTAAGACCATTCTAACACTCACATGTTCTTATGTTAGTAGATATGCCCAAATAATTTATTCTTAAGTCAATCCAACCGCAATCTTGATGTTACAAGTTATGAATCATTTTTGGAGATAGTGCTTATATGTTAAAAGATCGGGGGTTATGGCCAAGCTAAGGGTTGAAAGAGTTAAAAGACCAGAGTTCAAAGAGAAAAAACTAGTAACGTAATAGCTAATATGCTAACATTTGCTTATCCTAAGAAAAAACGTGTAAGCACTTATTTGGACGGATAGTGTTTATATTCAAGTTCATTATGAACGAATGACTGAATAACTAATTGACTTATTGTTTTATAATTACCAAATGCCTATTACTGCTAGGTAACAAACTGTTGAGTTGGATAGTGATACAGTTGATGTCTTGTTGGTAATGTGTGTAGGGCTTGCAATATATGATACTATGCAGTACATTCGGTCTCCGATCAACACAATGTGTTTGGGGCAGGCTGCGTCCATGGCTTCTCTCCTGTTGAGTGCGGGTGCCAAGGGTCAGAGGCGTGCTCTTCCGAATGCTTCAATCATGATTCACCAGCCTTCTGGTGGATACAGTGGCCAGGCAGCGGATATTTTAATTCATTCCGAGCAGATTAAAAAAGTCTCGAAAGCGCTGAATGAGTTGTACGCCAAGCACACTGGCAAATCGGTTGATGTTATTAAGAAGGATATGGATAGAGATAATTTTATGGATGCTAAAGAGGCAATGGAGTATGGGATTATTGATGAGGTTATTGATCAGAGACCTATGACTTTGGTTTCTGATGCTGTTGGCAATGAAGGCAAAGATAAAGGTTCAAATTAGAACTGGAGGGTAAGGTTTCTTTGAGGAATTCTTGCTGTTTTTAAATGTTTTCGTGCCACCTTAGGCATTAGTTGCAGTTGGTATAATTTTATCAATTGGACATAATCTTTGTAAGTTTCGGTTATTAGATTTTACAATTAAGCTTCAGTCTTTCTTCTCAATTCGGTTTTATTGGCATATTTTTATCACAGAGATTTTGAGCTTTAGGTACCCGTTTCTAATTATTCATAATAATATAAGATGAATTTTTCAGCAAGTCTGTCTAGTATTTATCTGATTGCTAAATTATGTGTGGAAGTAATGCTTTTATATCTATTAAGTTTGGTACTTGAAGCTCTCTTAGTTCATAGTGCTTTGTATACTTCTATCCTGTTATTAGCAATCATCTTAAGAGACAGAGGAATGGTTTGATAATCCGCTGATGTGATGCATTGTAGTTTCTTGGTTTTTAAATTGCGCGAGTATCATCCAAGTTCATAATTGGAAGTTGAAGATTGGGTTGTTGACTTGTTTCCCTCCTGGTTTATAGACCCTTACAAATTTAGAATGGCATGGAAGTTTGCCCAGATTTTGTAATACTTTCTTATCAGTGGCAGAAAGTTTGATCTTGTTGAGAACTTAGTGCATTGACATAATTGCACAATTCTGAACTATGGTGTATATGAGTTTTTGTAGGAAATACTCAGAGAGGTGGGAGATTTTATTGAAATTTTTTCTCCAAAGCAAAAGTACAGAAAGGAGTAATAAATTCTAGCCAACCAATTCCTTCTCCCCTACAAGGACTAGAATGATGACAAACAAATTGAGATTTTCTTAATGCACCCCTACGCTGTGAACCTCGTGAAATTTAGAAAATACTTTCAGATTTTAGAGATGTATCTTCAGACGTACCTAAAACACACATAATTCTTTCATTTTTGAGACATTCTAAATTTATGATTAAATTTAGTTTGAAAATACATTTATAAAATTTCTCCGGAAATACATTTTTGAAGCCTACTATGAAAACAATGCACCTCCCATTATGAAAGCAATGCAACAAAGAGATGTAAGGTGTTATCCAATCTGTAAGACACTTCTCAAAGCATCCAAATCAAAACATACATATTCTTATTTAAGGTGTCTCAACTCCTAAACAAAACAAAAAAAAAGCACTTTAAAATTTACAGTAAAAGCTATTATCATATGGAGGTGTTCCTGGAAATGCGTTTCTGAAATAAATTTAGTTTTAAAATTGGAATGTAGTTCAAAACGAAACAATTGTATATGTGTGTTTGGAAATGTATTTTTGAAAATTGAAGGATATTTTTGAAATTTTATGAGTTTTTCAGGTACATAAGATGTATTAAGAGATCCTCAACAAATTTTTTATATTTAAGTGTACTTTTAGTCCCTAAACTTTACATCATTTAAAAATTGGAATTATTTTACATAAGTGACCGTGCTTGAGATAAAAAATTATGTATACGTGACATTGATGACTGGACTAATATTAATTAATATTTTTTATTAACTAATAAGTTAATAAATAATTTTAATTATGTTTTTTTTAATTAATTAATCAAAATAATTAACTAAAATATATTGGGCTAGACCTTAACAAGTACACCTCATCTAGTCATTTGCCTAAACAAATGAAATTCTATTATTGAGATATATAAACACTCATGGGCGGATCTACGTTTAGGCTAGGTGTGGCTATAGCCACACCAGATTTTTTTTTTCTTCTAATATTAATATATATTTAATTAATTAATTAATTTTAATATTTAATATTATATAACTCTTCAACTCACTTTTATCTCTTAATTTTCTCTCTCTTTTATTTCTTTCTCTCTCACACAGTAAACTCTTTCTCTTCTTCTCAAACCCCACCAACATGGGCGGATCCACGTTTAGGCTAGGTGTGGCTATAGCCACACCAGATTTTTTTTTCTTTCTAATATTAATATATAATTAATTAATTAATTAATTTTAATATTTAATATTATATAACTCTTCAACTCACTTTTATCTCTTAATTTTCTCTCTCTTTTATTTCTTTCTCTCTCACACAGTAAACCCTTTCTCTTCTTCTCAAACCCCACCAACTTCCATATTTGTCTCTTTCTCTCATTAATCCAATAACCCCACCATTTTGCATTGTTTATGGGTGATTGAAAATCAAAGGTAAACTAACTACTTCAAAATTTTCTTATTCTTTTGTTCTATTTGAGTTGAACCCTAAAACTCCAATTTGTTTTAAAAAAGTAAATTTTCAATTTCTCATAAATATTTTCTTTACAATAAATTGTTCTTATTATTTTCTTTATAGAGTGAATAGTTAATTTTAATGGTTTCATTGTTCTCTTTATAGGATGAAGAAATTTTTTCCTGTGCTTTCTAGAGACAAAGCTACTTCTTCGGTAAATCTAGAAGCATCGGAAACTCAACATCCAAGTGAGAGTATTAAAGTTGTCGATTATGAATTGTTGGAAACCGATCCAGGAATTAGGCCTCCAATTTCAAGCTATCATCCTGACATCCAAAATGAGGTAAGGAAAGCTTATTTAAAAATAGGTCGTCATAAACCTCCTTACAATTTTGTTTACCCTTGGTCTGTTCAAGGTAATCAAAGACGTAGATTTTGTAAAAATTGGTTTGATTTGTATGATTGGATTGATTATAGTGAATCTAAGGACCTGGCATTTTGCTTGCCATGTTTTTTGTTTAAGAATGTCTCTAAATACGGGGGAGATCACTTTGTGACATAGGGGTTTGGTGATTGGAAGAATTCTCACAGATTGGCTAATCATGGAACTTCTTCCAATAGTCATATTGATTGTGTGCATATGAGTTACGCTCTCATGAACCCAAACCAAAGTATTAAGGCTGCATTTGTTAATCAAACTAAACAAATGAATTCTGAATATCGTGTTCGTGTAAACACATCTCTTATAGCTACTAAGTTTCTTTTGAAGTGTGGCATGCCATTTAGAGGGAGTGATGAGTCCTTTAACTCTTTATTTAAGGGGCCATTTCTTGAGTTGGTGGACACTCTAAAGGAAATTAACCCAGAGATAGCTAAGGTAATAAATTGTGCTCCAGGAAATAACTTTATGACCGCCCCTAAGATTCAAAAGGATCTTGCTGCTGCTTGTGCATGTGAAATAACTAAACAAATTGTATGTGATATTGCGGATGATGTGTTTTGTGTTTTGATTGATGAATCCGGTGACGTTGCTGGTAAAGAACAAATGGCTGTTGTTATTCTCTATGTTAATAGTGATGGTTTGGTAAAAGAAAGGTTTCTTGGGATTGTTAGTGTTAAAGAAACAAGTGCTAAGTCACTTAAGGAGGCACTTGAGAAGTTGTTGTCTATTAATGGCTTGAGTTTATCTAGCATAAGGGGGCAAGGATATGATGGAGCTAGCAATATGCGAGGTAAGTTTGGTGGTTTGAGAACTTTAATTCAAAATGAAAATCCATCAGCTTATTATGTGCATTGTTTTGCCCATCAACTTCAATTAGCACTTGTTGCATGTGCTAAGACTCACAAAGATGTTAGTGGTTTTTTCGGTAAGGTCAATATGCTTGTTAATTTCATACGGTCTTCTAACAAGAGACAAGAATTGCTTCGGGACAAACAAGTATCTCAATTTGCTAAATTGATTGAAGAGGGTGAGATAGAGACTCGTAGTGGATTAAATCAAGAATCGTCTATTGTTAGAGCGGGTGACACTCGTTGGGGTTCCCACTTTAGGACTCTCACTAGTTTGATGACTTTATATGGTGCCATTATTGAGGTACTTGAAGAAGTCGGGAAAGATACGTCATTTGAAAAATATGGTGAAACTATGCTTTTGCTAGATGTGCTTCAGTCCTTTGATTTTATTTTCATGTTATACATGATGGTTGAGATTTTAGGATTTACAAATGATTTAAGTGTAGTGCTACAAAAGCGTGATCAAGATCTTTTGAATGCTTTATCACTTGTCAAAGCCACCAAACAGGAATTACAAGAAATGAGAAATGATGGATGGGAAGAACTTATATCTAAGGTTATGGAAATTTGCAATAAGCATGATATTGATGTGCCTGATTTGGATGCAGCGTACGTGCAAGGGAAGAAACCTAGATGACATGCTATCACTTCTAGTGTTTCTAATTTGCATCATTATAAGCATGATTGTTTATGTAGTGTTTTAGATTTGCAGTTGCATGAGCCCAATGCTAGGTTTGATGAAGAGAATACTGAACTTTTACAATGTGTTTCATGTTTGAGTCCCTCATCATCATTTGAATCTTTTGATGTGAAAAAATTATTGAGGATGGTTGAACTTTATCCAAATGATTTTGTAGATGTGCCGGAAGTGGCGGTACGACATCAGCTTCAGAATTATGTTAGAAATGTTCGGTGTGATCCAAAATTTGCAAATTTAAACGGACTTTCAGATCTTTGTGCAAAACTTGTGGAAACAAAAAAATGCAACACTTTTGATATAGTTTATAAGCTTCTGAAGTTGGCTTTAGTCTTGTCAGTAGCAACTGCGAGCGTGGAACGTGTTTTTTCAGCTATGAAGTTTGTGAAGAGTCAGCTATGTAACAAAATGGGTGATCAATGGTTAAATGATCGTCTTGTAACTTTTATAGAAAGAGATGTTCTTGGAACAATTAACAATGATGTTATTTTAGCTCATTTTCAAGAAATTGATACTAGACGGTTTTCATTGTAAATACACTTCATCAAACAATATTATTTTTTATTTTCAATATATTTTAGTCGATAATTTCTTTTATGTTTAGCCACACCAATATATAAAGTCTGGATCCGCCCCTGTAAACACTACCCATGTTTAATACAAAATCAATGTGGGACTTTAATCTAAAACAACATGCAGCTTGAAACCATCTTCAAATTATTCCAATTTTTAAATGATGTAAAGTTGGTATAGATATGTTCACAGAAGAAGAAAACTGGTGTCATTGCGCCCAAGCAATTTGTACAAAGGTTGAAAAAACATGATGAACTCTTTCGCAGCTATATGCATCAGGTATGTACCTTATGTTTAGAATAAGCTCATGTACATTGAATCATTAGTTGTGGAATCTGTAAATTCTTTTAACAGTAACGTTTATGTTATAAAATATAAATATCAATATATACGAGTTTGGGTACAAGTTTGTATGCAACGTTTGCCTATGCTATTTTTTACTCCATGATTATGCAAAGATGCCAGTAGGTGTTGCTCCATGTTTATTCACATTTCCTTTTTCAGTTTTTCTGCACATGGATTGTTATGAGGAATACAAGGCCTAAGAGAGAGTTGAAGAAGTTAGTCCATCTAAAAAATTATATTTTAAATTTAATGGCGCATTTAGTATTTCTGTTTTAAATTGGACTTTTGTTTAGTCTTTGTTTAGCCCATGGCCCATTAGGATGTTACAACCCTACAATATATTATGTATGTTGCTGCTATTGAAATCAAGAAGAAAAGTTGTTATATCTTATTGTCTTTTTATGCAATTTCTAGATCTATAGTTAACCCTAGCATAGCTTATCATTGGTGCTTTCCTATCTTGTACTCATGGCTCTCCCAAAATCCACCAACCCTTCTTCAAAGGATATTGTGGAAGAAGCTGTGAACTTGACTCATCTTCAAATGAACAATGCTCTGCAAGAACAACAACTCCAACTTGATGAAAGATTTGATCTCGTGACTGCAGATTTTGCTCATTAATTTGGAGAGATGAACATGAGATTTGAAAATGAGAAGAGTATGGCGGAATCTCACATGATTCCATCATGACGATTTTACACCAGATCTCTACTCAGCGAGAACAACCAAAGACTACTACAGCGCAATCAGCAGCAAGCGGCTCATGTATTACTCATACACACTTTTCATCCCATATGTTAACCGCTCCTGTCACCATTATCTCCACACCCATTAACATACCCTTGCATAACACAACAACTTCTACCCACACACTACACTCAATTGTGGTGACTTTACCACCACCACAATTCACAACCGCCCAACCACCTCCACCATATCCACCCTTTCTCCAACAACAATTTGCCTTTACCCCAACCCAGCCCTATACTAACCTTTTTCATCACCAACCACCATACCATCAAATGTCCCAAATACCCCCATTACAACCATTTAGATCCCTAAAATTAGAACTAGCCCTTTTTGATGGGTCAAACCCTTTTGAGTGGTTATTTCAAGCTGAGCAATTTTTTAGTTTTTTCAATTTACCACCTGAATACCGTTTATCATTAATTTCTTTTTACATGAAAGGGGATATGTTATGTTGGTTTAAATGGTTGCACCAAAATAACATGTTAACTGATTGGTTCAGTTTTACAAAGGCTTTAGAGTTTCGATTTGGTTCTTCCACCTATGAAAATCACCAAGCTGAGTTATTTAAATTGAAACAAGAGGGGACAGTTGTGGAATATCAAACCAAGTTTGAACAATTAGTAAATCAGATTGTGGGGTTACCTCAAGATGCCATTTTAAATTGTTTTATTTCTGCTCTCCAACTTGAAATTCGAAATGAAATATCCAACTGTTGTACCCCAAAATTTGCCCTCCCTTTTTCACAAGAAATCACAACCCCAGGGTTTTCTCTGATTTTTAAGATCAGCTCAGGAATCGATCAAACAAACTTTTCTTCGGTAGTTAAATCCGGAATTAGGGTTTTCGCTCGCATTTCTCAAAAGGAGCATAATCCTCAGAAATTCAATTAGCTGCTACATATTTTCACGCTTGTTCAAGATTGCTGTTTGTCCTCAAGTTTTATTTATCTGGGATAAGAGATAGGAGCTGAAATTGTCTAATCCAAATTAACCAGGTAATGTGTGTCTGTTGAGACATCTATTTGTTAACGGAACGAAACGTTTGTTTGTTAATGGAATGCTTGCTTGCCTGTTGGAATACACAACGCGTATGTTGATTGGAATGTTGTCGCAAGTTATGAGATTGCAGAGTTTTTTAGGGATTACTTGGATTTTAAGTTATCTGTATTGGAAATGGTGGAATGCAATTTCAGTCATTTTTAATCAGGAATCTTAAATGAAAAAGTGAAGAGGCAAAGGGAAAGATTGAAAGATATTTGACAGTAGAAATTTCTTTTGGATAAAGACTTTTTATTCATTTCAAATGTTGTTACAAAATATATTTGAATATTGTAAGTCTACAACTTATAGTATTTAAAATAATAATTGTTTACAATAAATGGAAAATAAATCTAAGCCTAATCTCCTAAGCTTCAAGTGCTCCCATGCTCAAGGTCTTTGGTTCCTACTGCTTTATCGCCATCCAATATGCATTCACCTGAAAAAGAAGAAAGAAAAGAAATTAGCACAGTTAATTGAAAAGGATTTTCAAATAGAAAAAGAAAGAAAATCATCATTAAAGTTTGCCAGTCGGAATCAGAATGCTATTTGTTCATCATGTTTTTATTTTTCTCTTTGCAAATCACAAGAAGATTGCTCTTCTTGGTTCACAAAGAGAAAAGTAAAAAATAAAATGCAAGCATACAATTGGTTCAAATACAAAAACATGGGCCATGTTGTACAAAGTAAGGTACAAGGCTGCATACAAAGCAAAACTATGTCAAACTAAATACCAATTGCAGTAACCAAACCAAATGCAACAAGGTTCCAAGCATGTCAAACTAGAATGCAACATACAAGTACAGAAAATACACAATGCAGAAAATATGCAATCAGAAAAGTACACAATGCAGCAGGTAATACAAT